TTTCAGGTCTACTGTAGTGGCATGTGGAGCAACCAATCCTCTCTCCTCTGCCACCATACAGCCTGCAGGCATGCAAAATAGGCCAGAGGTGACGAATCAGGTGACGGTGAACTGACACAGGAGAATATTGACCCAGCTGGGGTCAGTGTTGTGGTGCAGCAATTCAAGCTGCTACTTGTGATGTTGGCATCCCATATCAGACTTAATGCACTTGGGAAGGCAGCAGAATTTGGTTCAAGTGCCTGAGCCCCTGCCACCCAAATGAGAGACCTGGATGGAGCTCCTGGCTCCTGGCTTTGGCCTGTTCCAGACCTGGGTGTTCTCTCTCTCTCTCTCTCTCTCTCTCTCTCTCTCTTCTTCCCACCCCTTCTCTCCCTGTCACTCTGCCTTCAAAATAAATAAATAAATAAATAAATAAAATGAATTTTTTTTTGACAGGCAGAGTGGACAGAGAGAGAGAGACAGAGAGAAAGGTCTTCCTTTTGCCGTTGGTTCACCCTCCAACGGCTGCTGCGGACGGTGCGCACCGTGCTGATCCAATGGCAGGAGCCAGGAGCCAGGTACTTATCCTGGTCTCCCATGGGGTGCAGAGCCCAAGCACTTGGGCCATCCTCCACTGCACTCCCTGGCCACAGCAGAGAGCTGGCCTGGAAGAAGGGCAACCGGGACAGAATCCGGCGCCCTGACCGGGACTAGAACCCGGTGTGCCGGGGCTGCAAGGCGGAGGATTAGCCTAGTGAGCCGCAGCGCCAGCCAAAATGAATCTTTTTTAAAAAAAGTGACCCAGTGGCAGAGGCAACAGCTTTAGAATTAATAGCTCGTAGAAAGTAAACCAACCCTATCTTGTCTATTGGAGAACTTTTTAATCAACACATGTATATGTATTTTATGTATATTATGTATTTTATGCCCCACCATAAACCTTGTAGGCACTATATCATTGAGGTGTCCCTTTCTTGAAATATTTCTAAGATTGAGGGAAAAGATCTTAACTCTCTAATGCTCCTCTTCAAGTAATCAATAAATGCCAATTGTTATCACAGCTGGGCAAATATTTCCAATGCATTGTTAACACTCAAATACAAGTCCCTAGGTAGCTGGATGATTTTTATGTCAGATGGAATAAATAAATGTAACCTTACTATGTGTACCAGACAGTAAGTGTTCAACATATATTTGGTGCATGCATGAGTAAATACACTGGACTAGGCACCAGAATGTAACACAACCAGTAGAAGTCTGACTTAATATCAGGTTTCCCAAATTACCCTTTCCTTAAAGAGGTTAAAACCAAAGGGGTGGGGCCGGCACTGTGGCAAGGCAGGTTGAAGCCCTGGCCTGAGGTGCCGGCACCCAATGTGGGCGCTGCTTCAAGACTCAGCTGCTTCACTTCTGATCCAGCTCTCTGCTGTGGCCTGGGAAAGCAGTGGAAGATGGCCCAAGTCCTTGGGCCCCTGCACCTGCATGGGGGACTGGGAAGAAGCTCCTGACTCCTGACTTCGGATCAGTGCAGCTCTGGCCTTTGCAGCCATCTGGGAAGTGAACCATGGGATGGAAGACCTCTCTCTCTCTCTCTCTCTCTCTCTGCCTCTTCTCTCTCTGTGTAACTCTTTCAATCAATAAATAAAAAATAAACAAATAAATACATCTTTTTTTTTTTTTTTTTGATAGGCAGAGTGGACAGTGAGAGAGAGAGACAGAGAGAAAGGTCTTCCTTTGCCGTTGGTTCACCCTCCAATGGCCGCCGCGGCTGGCGCGCTGCGGCCGGCGCACCGCGCTGATCCGATGGCAGGAGCCAGGAGCCAGGTGCTTTTCCTGGTCTCCCATGGGGTGCAGGGCCCAAGCACCTGGGCCATCCTCCACTGCACTCCCTGGCCACAGCAGAGGGCTGGCCTGGAAGAGGGGCAACCGGGACAGAATCCGGCGCCCCGACCGGGACTAGAACCTGGTGTGCCGGCGCCTCTAGGCGGAGGATTAGCCTATTGAGCCGCGGCGCCGGCCAAATAAATACATCTTTTAAAAAACAAAAGGGTAATACAAATGCTTGATCATATGGAAAAATGGTTAAAAATTCAAACAGCAATCTTCAAATGTCTTGTTCCTAAATTCTAAATTCAATGTGTAGAAGAAACAAAATAAGAAATAGAGAAAAACAAAAATATTATCCTTTGCAAATGAAAAATGTCAACATGGATTCTATTACAGATGTGGTGACATTGCCACCCACCAAGTCATGTTTCTGTGAACACAGTTCATCTTTTCATCAGTCTGGAAATCTTAGAGAAATGGCCGTTTCCTGTCCTTTACCTAATCCATCTTAACGGATATATCCATGTGTGTATTGATGTCATGTCATCATTCATGCACAGCTTCCTTGTGGGAACAGGTTGTATAGTTCCAGGTTTTTCTTATACAATATGTACTTTGCTCATTCTGGTTTTTTTAAAAATATTATTTGTTATATTTGAAAGGCAGAGATACAGAGATAGAAAAAGAGCTCTCATTTGCTGGCCCATTCCCCTTAAGCCCGCAACAGCTTAGGTGGGACCAGGCTGCTAAACCAGGAGTCCAGAATTTCATCCAAGTATCCTACATGGATGGCAAGGATCTACCTAATTGAACTTTCATCTGATGTCTCCCAGAGTGTGTTGTTGGGAAGTTGGAATCAGGAATGGAGCTGAGACTCAAACTCAGGCACTCCAATATGGGATGCAGGCTTCCCAAGTGGTATCATAATCTACTAAACCATATTTAAAATCCCACATACATACAAAGGATTTTTGGCTACATATTGGAGGCAAAAAGTCTAGAGAATTAATTTCCCATGCACAACTCTGCTCACTTTTCATCTTCAAATATCTGAACAAAGTGTTTTTGTATAAAAGTCGATACTTCAATAACTCCTCTTTGATAACATTGATATGGACATTTAATTAATTTTCTGGTTGTAAAAAAATCTATTAAGGATATAACCTTCTATTTGTCGCCAGATAACTAGTCAACACACAGTGGTAATATAAATTGTCCTTCATTAATTTATGCATAATTAAAATTTCATTTGAAATCCCAAATTATAAAGATAGTTGAAGCCAGAACAAATTTGAAAGTGGTAATAATTACACTATCATTTACTACTCATTTTGAGATTTTATTAAATCAATCTATAATTGAAAAGTAAATAAAGCTGAGGAATAATATACCGTGTAGCTGGTAGTGAGGAAGGAGAAAACCCAAAATGTTGCCAAATAATTTAACCATTTATATGCAAACACCCAATGGGAAATGAATAGGATTTATACATTTAAAGCAAATCTTTCCCTATACTTCTTAGTTTCTTTTTAAATCTGGCAATAGCAGTCAGAGAATTAGTTTTTTAAAAAAATATCATTTGAGAGGCTGATATATATATATCCATATATATCTGTATATATGTACACACACACATATTCACAGATGTATGTATATACATATGGAGCAAAAAAAAAAAAAAAACAGTACTGCATCTGCTGGTTCACTCACCAAATAACCTCAATAGTCCGTGGAGTTAGAGCTCCCTCATGGATAGCAGGAACCAAGTTACTTGAACCATCACCACTACCTCCCAGTGTGTACATGGGTGGCATGCTTGGGTCAGGAGCTGGTGACAGGGACTGAACCTAGGCCCTTCAGTGTGGTATGCAAACATCTTAACCACTAGGCTAAATATATACTCAAGAGAATTAAAGAATTTGCTTTGTGCTTTTTTTTTAAATTGGCACTGCAAAGTGTATATTCAAGCTGTCAATTTAATTTAGCATTAAATGTATTATACAAAAAGAGATCAATAAATTCAATTTCATAATGAAAATATTTACTAACTGAAGTATTGACATTTATTTTTGAGATGAGTTAGTACAGTACATTTTCAATTGATCACTAATTATTTAGAGTAACTTTGGGTTGTGTGTACAGCCCATTAAAAGCTAAACTTCATACAGTCTTTACAGAAATGTTAGACTAGGGGCCAGCACTGTGGCATGGTGGGTAAAGCCGCCGCCTGCAGTGCCGGCATCCCATATAGGTGCCGGTTCAAATCCTGGCTGCTCCACTTCCGATCCAACTCTCTGCTATGGCCTGGAAAACAGTGGAAGATGGCCCAAATCCTTGGGTCCCTGCACTAGTATGACAGACCCACCGGAGGCTCCTGGTTTCGGATCGGCTCAGTTCTGGCCATTGCGGCCAATTGGGGAATGAACCAACAGATGGGAGACCTCTCTCTCTCTCTCTGCCTCTCCTTCTCTCTGTGTATCTCTGACTTTCAAATAAATAAATAAATAAATAAATAAATCTTTAAAAAGAACAGAAATGTTAGACTAACCTGAATCAATCTATCAATGCCTGAGAGGTCAGTTATTTTTAGAAGCTACATTAATGTTTTAAGACCACTAATAGTCATTAGAAAATTATAATATGGCTTCATGTAGAAAGTTGGATGGCAAATATATAGGCCAGAATTATTGACTGTAGGCAAGTGTATGCTATCAGATACCTTTATGTAAGTTGTTTTAGAAGAATCCATCCACTTTTTTCCATGCTTATACCACAGCGAGAAGTTGAAGAAAAAGAACCAGGACTCAAATCCATGATGCCATTCATTCATCCTCAGGTGAATTTACATTTGCCCTTATTTTGAGTTATGCTGGCCTTCTTGTTCCCATCTGTGCAGAATAAATTGTTCTTCCAGAGTTACAGGACCTCTTTCAGATTAACAATGTGACATTTCTAAAAACTAGGGTGACAATTTATTTAATGGTACCCTGTCTGCCTAAAAGAGTCATCATATATTTTTTCTCTGCTTTTAACAGAATTTTGTCTGAAATGGTTATGGTTTGTTTTATCTTGAAACAGGGAAACAGTTGACTATAATAGTTACAATGAATTACTATAATTAAGATGTAAATATTTTATTGAAAATAAATTTGAAAACTTGGAGAATAAATAATAAGCCTGTATTTGTGAAATTCTCAACTGCAAAGCCCAGTAATTGTATGTGTAGTTCAAAATGTCTCTTGGCAATGTCATATAAAGTAGTACTAATAAGCTTATAGGCTATGCCTATAACTATTCAGTAATTATTCAACAATTACACTGATTGACAAGTACAGAAAGATAGGAAAAAATCAAAATGACTCAGAGGTCTAGGCTCATATTTTAAAAATGAATCAAAAGGCATCTGTAAAGCAAGACTAAGGGAAGAAAATATCCAAAATGAAGGAAATTGAAAAGTAAATGTTCCTTTCATATCACTTTTGAAATTTCATAGCTATATCTAGAATAATAGGATTTAGAGTACTCAAAACAGTCAATTTTTATAGATAAAGAAACTAAAAATAGGAGAGAAGGAAGGGATCATGGCGGAGCTTATTGATGGAGGCTCTCTCCACGTTCCTCTCTTCCTTCTGTTGTTCTGATCAGCTTGGTGGAGCTTTGTCCTGATACAAGGAATAGGCACCCTCTACTACAAAGAACCCCAGACTGAGGTGAGGGTGTATAAATGAATAACAGGTGACTTTACCCAGGTAGATCTAGGTGTTTTATTTTTTTAGTAGTCAGGTAGAAATAAGTTTTTATCCATAACATTTTCCAGTTAATTCTGTCACTATGAAAATGTTGATTTTCATTGTCAGAAGTAATTTCTTCCAATTTCTCTCAGTGCATGAAATGCTATAAAGCTTATTCATGAATGAGCTCATAAAGACTAGAGAAATGCACCGTAAAAGCCAGAAGGAGAAGAAAAGAGCATGACTTGCAACTGGGAAAGGAGTAGCCCAGGCACAGGCAGCTGTGCTGAGACACCTGCAGCTCTGTCTTAGCTGTGTAAGAGACAGCGGCTGTGGGGAGGCTGGCATGCACGCCTTCCATGACTGGGAGTTTCATGGCACCTATGCCTCTGTGTGATTCTTTTTGTGTGGCCTAACAAAGATATAACTAAATGTATGATAATGATGATCTTCTCTGTAGAAAATGGTTACCCGGGAACACACACATATCATGTTGGAGTACTTGGATTTAAGTGTTTATTCCATTACCTTTTTCAACTTCCTGCTAATGTGCACCCTTTTTGGCAGAATTCCTTCTTGTATGGCTTTAAGACTAAAGTCTTCTCCTTCTCCTCCCTCTCTCTGTACCCTCTTTCTTTCTTTCTTTTTTTTTTTTTTTTTTAGCTGCTAGGGACCACTGTGAGCCAAACTATGTTAAGTGTTTGGTTTGCATGCATTTCTCCAGGTAAACTAGCCTAAATGGTAGATATTGTTATTATATCATTCTGTAAAAGGGAACTGAGACACAGCCAAGTTTGCTCTAGAGCAACGCTATTGAGCTCTACACTGTACTCTAATGATGTTAATATAAATAACGAGCAACAAAAAATGCAATGCAATTCACTTTCACTCAATTCATCAAACATCCAATGCGTATGAATGTTGAAATATGCCTTTTGGCTCTAAGGAACACAAAATAAACAGCAGTGAATCCTTTCCCAAAATTAGCCACCATATATTCTTTTGAGAACTTACATATCTTCTGCCACTCATTAGTATATGTGTTGTAAAAATATCTCACCACTCCATTCCAGTCAAGGGATGAACATTTGATCAAGGCCTGTCCGACCATAATAGTCATTTTCCTAGAATCAGTGACCTGTCCAGATGTGAGCATATAGAGCAGTGGGACCAGTTGGAGTCCTTTGGAAGTGAGGCGTGGATGGCAGTAGAAAGAAGTTGAAAGAAGCTTCTTTTCTTTCGGTCTGCTAGAACCGGAGTCAGGAAAGGGGTGGGAGGACAAGTGAGTTAGAGAGAACCAGCAGCTTAATTCCCCAAAAGATGCTCATCTATAGGAAGAAAGGATAAGGCCAGTATACAGTGAGTACCAGACCTAATTGCTGGAGAGAGGGAAAAAGAAGCGAACCAAAGTCATTTAAGCCCTGGGATTCAGCCAAGCTTAAAGCCCCTGAACTTTCCAGGTAACTGAGTTAATAAATTGTGTTTTCTGCTTGAACTTGAAGTCATGTTGTTTCTACAACAAAAATAAGCCTCAGGAGGGCATTTGCCACTTTATTCAAGCAGCCAAATCAGAAGATTAAATTACAATGCATTCTAGTTATAAATAACTTACTTAAGTGCATATCATTTATCATATTCATTTATTTATAAAACTGTATGAGATAGACACCAACCACGGTCTAGCAAAATTACCGATGTAATGTATATTTATTCCCTTCACCTCATGTAGACAAAAAAAGAATAGGGAAGTTTAGTGTATTGCTGGGAGGTGGGGAAAGTGTGATGTCATGAGAATATAAAGCAGAAATTGTAGCTAAGCAAATTTCAAGCTAATGGTACAGTACTTCTCACTGATTGTGGCAAAGATACTAATATGAGATATTAATAAGGGAAATGGGATGAGGAGTACATGGGAACTCTTCACATCACTACCCACAATTTTTGTTTTGTGCCTTTTAAACAATTCTGAAATAAACTGTTAAATAAAAAACCTTAAAGCAGCATAGCTAAATCACAAGCAATTCAGTCAGGTAGGTGGCCTGGGATATCTTTTCAGAACAAAATTTTAGCCTTTAGAGAAGGAAACTGCCCATAAAACCCAGCAGAACCTCAGTTCTAAATGGTACTGTGTTGCACCTCTTACCCCATGCTCATATGCATGCACACTATACCTTCACTCTCTAGAAGATAATACTACAACCCAATACACTTTAGGAAGAATGGCCCATTTTACTTACAATTACAAGACTTTCCCCAATAAAACATGTATATTTAACAATGATTTATGTTAATGCTTATTTGTTCATTGGAAGGTATGCAATAATAATTATATATCCCTTTTTCCAGCTAGATTTCCTTTTTCAAGTCACCTGTGCAAAACAGATCTAGAAAAATTAAGATCTGATGTTGCAAGACAGACAGATTTAGAGATCTGCACCAAAACAAAAATCTCTTTACCAGACCTAAAGCACAGAATCGGAGCTAAGCTTAGCCCAGTGAATTGATGCAAGGAACAAATGAATCAGTTTCTCATTGCATTTTTAATGAATTATCCCAAATCAGTAGCATAAAACAGCACAAATGCACCAGCTTACAGTTATGGATGTCAGAGTTTTCAAATTGAGGTGTTAGCAGGACTATATTCTTCTGTGAAGATGGGGAGAACCCATTTCCTGCTTTTTCTGGTTTCTACAAGGCTATTGTGATTGCATTGGGCCCACCTTGGTTGACCAAAATAATCTGAACCCAAGATGTTTAAACTCATCTGCAAAATCCCTTTTGCCTTGTCAGGAATGTAGTCTCAGGTGTTCTTTGTTTTTTGAAATCAGTATTAGACCTCATGTCCAGTCGAGATAGAGGGTTGGATTTTTCTGGTGACCACACATAACATTTGTGGCTGCATCCCTAAAACTTGTCTGCCTAAAGCCAAGAATGTTTATGGAGATAAGAGTGGGCCAGAGCTGGCCCACTATGTAGAAGTCAGAATATCTGAGCTGAGGGCAAAAAAGTAAGGATTGGAGACCAAACAAAAGTCAGTGAACATAGTTTCGGTGATAAACTGCTGCAAGCTCCAGCCTGCTAAAATGGATGATTGTGCAGGGTTCTGCTATTAACTTTTTAAATAAAATCATATGAAGTCAAAGGTCTAGCCAACCTATCTTGACATTCAGTTTGTGATAATATTAGGGAAAAATTCCAATAATAATTTCTGCCCACAGGATGGTTCAGAGGAGTGAATGTAATAATTATGGGAAGTGTTTACTTAGCACATAGCCTGACAGCAGACACACAGTTTCAGGCTTTGTTTGTTTGTTTGTTTGTTTGGTTTTGAAGTGTGTGATCCTCGAAATTGCTTTGGTAGGAGGGCATAATTTAGAAACCATCTGAATATTTGATTGGTAGACAAAAAGCTCCATTTTTACTTTTTGCTTTTAAAGGTCCTTCTTTACTTGAAAGTAGATTTGTAAATATCTACTTATTTTGAATTTTTTCATCTCTGCATTTAGAGAAGTCTTAATTTCAAAACTATTCGTGCACTTGCCAGATAGAGGCAAACAGCTTGTTAGAACAAAGGTTAAATACAATGTTTATGCTGCCTTTTCTTCTTTTTGTTGTTTACAAAAATCAATTCCTAGCATTCAGGTGGGCAGAATGACTGAACACGATGACTACAGTGAGACTGGTTCCCTTTTATTACAGGTTTCCAGTTCTTCAGACTCCTATGGGAACTATATCCAACTTCTTGTAGTCTGGTTGTTTAACTGGGCTAAAGGTTTCTGGAGATCTGGGAAATGTTACTTCCCAGAGCCTTTTGTATCAGGCCCTTTCTTTAACAAACTGGAGCTTTGTTGCGAAGAAAACACACCATGTATTCGCAGTAAAGCTCTCAGCAACATCCTTAGGAGTTTAATCTTAAGGAAAAACATATTGGCTTTAGCCACTTGACAACTGATGCCTTGAAAATAAAATTATGAAAGCTATCTTAGTCAATAGTGAGTAGCTGACTAAAGTCCATTTTAGGTTTAGATTTCAAAGCCGTTGATAAATACTGCTGGAGAATACTGAAGCCTCATATGGGGAACTGTGGCTGCTCATTGTAATAGAAATAATAGGCATCAAGTTTTGGGCACCACTGTTCATTCCACTGGACTTTAATTGGCATGTACTCCAAGCATCTAAGTTCTCTTTCCATGACTCTTTAAGCAGAGATCCAACGTTATTCTCCACAAATGGATCAGGGTTTGATATGTCTGAACGAATGACTGCTTTTCTAAAATGAGGTCACTTCTGTTTCCCTTACTGTCATGGCAAGAGGGTTTGTATATCAGAAACGTTTGTTGGATTTCAGAAAACTAGCAATGCAATTTCTTTTGCTGGATCATTAAAATTATCAAATGAGAAGCAAATAAGAGTCCTTTGTGGGAAATCCCAAGTAATAAAAGCATCTAAAAATTTCCCAAATGTTCTTTGTTGAGACAGATGGTAAAACTATTCAGTGAGAGTGGCAATGCCTGCATTTGTAATATTTAAACATTTTGAATGGTGGTTGATGGAGCTTTTGTAATGCAGCCATTTCTTCAAAAATCTTGTTCTTCAGTGTAATAGGAATGGAAAGGTCTTAGTCTGCCGTACGTTTGGGCCCCCTACATAGTCAGTAACACCACATTCAAAAATACTTCCTTTATATTGTTTCACTGGTAAATAGTAGGAAAGTTTTACTGCATGTGAATCCTAAGAAGAGTAATTTGAAACACCAAAATTTTCTGTGGGCCCCAAAGCAGCCATTTGAGGTCTGCTCAAGTTTTGTTGTGGAGATTGGATTCAATTATTTGCCAAGACTATTTGAAAATGAATTTATACTACCAGCTGCTGTCCAGCTTTTAATGCCAAATAAAGCAATTACCTTATTATAGCTAAAAATTGACATAAATAACTTTTCCTTTTCCAGTGTAGCCTACCCAAAAGGGAGAAGCTAAGAGGAACAAATTAAAAAAAGGAAGTCAAAGAAATAAAGAGCTAAATATCAGACCATCATAAACTTTGGTACTAAAAATAATAATATGCAGCTCAGAGAATCAGGCTAAAGTCTACTTTGTTTTACTGTCAAATAATAACTTCTATGGAATTTTTAATAATTCAATAGTATCTCTTTATTTCTGCTTTTGTTCATAGAAAATCAAATAAGTTACAGTCATAGCCCTCAGAATTGGCTATTCAGAGACAGGTGTAATCCTTAAGCAAGTTGAATTGGTCCATCAAAGAAAGGTGAATTGCTTTTCTGTTAAAGGCAATATAATAATTTAATAATTTATTTTTACTATAATTCACCATAGCCTTCAGTCTTGCAGGATGAGAAACTAAATTTTTCTCCAACCACTTATTTATATGTACCTCTTAAGTTATTTGGTACTCAGAAGTAGATTGACAATAACTAAGTTTGCACTGTGATTGTATGAATCAGGAACACTTAATTTTGTGAGGTCAGCTTATCTTTCTCCAGAAGCGTAGTTACAGAGAAAATAGGATTGTAATAAGAATGTCAAATTACTAATAATGATTAATAGTTGTTACAGGGACAGCAACCCTTAAATTGTTAATTTGCTCTTCATTGGAACAATGCTGGAAGTCAATTAATTATTAGACAATTGACTATAACTTATTTGCGGCAGTCAGGGAACAGACTAATATTTTATATCATAGAGTGTGGGGAGCAACTCGGACTAGACTAAGTTACTGGAATTAAGACTTATTCTATGCATCTGCTCTCCCACAATATGGCGCTGAGAAGGGAGTAACAACTTCTACGCAGCTGCCTCTCGCCAACTTGAGTGATGACCTCCAGGAGCTAATCCTGCTCCTGATTGGAGGAGAGCAGCGTACTCGGCGTGTGGGTAGCAGAGTTGGGATTGGTGGAAGAGGACTATAAAGGAGGAGAGAGACGGCATGCACCAGGAACATCTATCTGAAGGAACACCTGAGCAGCCCCCGAGAGAGCCGGGCGGCGGTGTGCCGCTCCCCTGCGGAAGTGGGGAAAGTGGCAGGGGGAACCGCCCTTCCACGGAGGTGGAAGGGTCGGTAGCCAACCCGGGAAGAACCAGCAGCAAACCCGGGGAGGGCCGAGCAGACAAAAGAACAGCGCAGGGTCCTGTGTCGTTCCTCCACGAAGAGGGGGAGCGACATAATGGTGCCATGACTCAGATAGGAAGCCTAAGAGCGACAATAGAGACCTCCAAATATCATAGCC